TTTTTTAAAGCTCTAGAAATAAAATTGCATTAAACAAAACCAGGGCTAGATAAGAAATTTTCCTTTAATTCTCCTTAACAATCAAAATCTATTACATAACATGAAGCTAGATTTTAGTCAAATTGGCACCTGCCCACAGGTCTAACTAGATTCAATTACTCTTAGGCCATCAGTTGAAAATAGATTAAATATAATGCAAGACTTGAGTTTTCCCTTTAATAGGGTCCTTGACTGCAAACACACTAATTATAATACAAATAAAATTAACCTTTTTTTGGAAAACAAAAAGAAATGGAGAGGGCACGAGCGAGAGGGGCACGAGCGAGAGGGGCACGAGTGAGAGGTGCAGCGGCTAGAGACGACAGCGATTCCAGACGGCGGCAGGCTTATAGGGTGCGGCAGGTTAAGGATGGGTCTGATAATCTGGTTCCAGGGAAGGCATTTTTCTTCTACAATTTTCCAGAGACATGTCGCGCAAAGGATACTTCCAGAAGTATGGGTGTGTAGTGGATGTCTATGTGCCTGGGAGAAGAGATAAGTGGGGGAAACGGTTTGGATTTGTACGCATGACCGGAGTGTAGTCTGAACAAGAAATGGAGAGGAAGCTTAATGATCTCTGGATTGGGTCATATAAGGTTCGGGTTAAAGTTGCAGAGGATAGAAGGAGGCAAATCTCAAGAGTTAGAAGGGCACCAAGGGTCTTAGAGGAAAGAAAACCAGAGCACAGAATGGATAGACTTGTTCAACCGGGTCATTCATATGCACAGGCAATGGTGGGGATTCGTCCATAGATTAGGGAGCCTACTAGTAGTGCAGGGGCATTGCACGAGAAGGAAGGGCAAATTGTGGAGAATGAGGCAGTTGGATCTTGTGTTAAGGGTGCTGTAGGGCACGGAATGGTGGTGAACATTACTGGACAGTCTAAAGAAGAGGTTATTGAATTTGCACCAATGAAGGAGGAAACCAAATGGGTTGAAGGAAGTATGGTTGCTAAGGTAAAATCAGTAACATTGATATCTAACATTCAAGAAAGATTAGAAGTGGATGGAGGGGTGATTACCTTATTACCATTGGGATGAAGAAGGGTGCTATTAACTGAACAAGTGACAGGTTGCTTGGTTGATTATATACAGCAAAATAATGACTTGTTCGATTTATGGTTTGAGTTGGTACAACCATGGACATTGGCAAATCCAGTAAGTTGTAGATTGGTGTGGCTATGTATTTCTGGGATTCCGCTAAAAGCCTGGTGTGATAGATGTTTCCAAATGTTAGGCGAGTTAGTGGGAGAAGTGGTTCGGATTCATGAAGATACTACAAATAAAATTATCTTAGGTGATGGAAGGGTTTTAATCCTCTACTCTGAAAAGAGTAAGATTTTCTGAACTGTAAACCTGAAAGTGGAGGACCAGATGTATGAAGTAGGGATGATAGAGGAAGAATGGCGTTCCGATCCTGATTGGTGGTTGTCGGACGGCGATACGCGGTGTGAATCGGAAACTGAATCGGAATATTCATTAATGCCTAATGGTAGTGAGGATGATGACTTGATTCACACCGCAAAAAGTGGAGGGAATGAGGATATTTTTGATGAGGAGATGCTGGAGAAGGAAGCTGCTTCAAATTCAAACAGAAATTTTGTAATGGATGGCAGTAACAACATGTTCTCTGAAACGGAAGATATAGAAGATGGGTATAATGAGCCTAATAAATGTAATGGGCTGGTAAGGGATAAGCAGAATAAGCCTGATGAGTCCTATGGGCCCGATGCAAAGATGTCTCCAAAGAGGGCCAGGGATGGTAATGACATAAGGCTTGTAGCAGCTCACGAGCATGTCTTGACCCCTGTTCCGAATCTGGAAAACAGGGGAGCGACGGGTAAAAGGCGGAAGCATATTGTGGAGTGTTATCCACAAAATTTGGCAGAAATTGGAGACAAGAGCACTCAATGGGTCACAACGAGGTCCAAGCAGAGACAACGAAGATGGAAGCAGGCTCAATAGGAGGCACCGATGAAGGTAGGTGAAAGTATTTCTCTTTCGGATGGGTGCATAGCTAATAGAAATCGGGTGATTTAGAGGGAAATGAATTTACTAGAGGTTAGAAGGATGATTAGTGTGGGAAAAAGGTTGGGTGTTCAGATTCAAGGGAATGAAGAGGAGGTTCAGTCCAAATTATTGCAATTAGAAGAACCGGAGGTTGTGAAGGGGTAGGGTAGGAAAGAAGCTTGAAGTTGTAAGGATTGGGTGGGTTTATGCGTGTTTTTCTTTACAAATATGAAGTTCTTGTCCTTTAATGTTAGGGGATTGGGGGGATTGTTGAAAAGGAAGGAGGTAGAGAGAGTGGTAAGAAAAGAGAGGCCAGATTTTTTGTTTTTGCAAGAGACTAAATTGCAGAAAGTGGATGGGAATGTGTGTAGGGGGTTGTGGTATTCAGATGAATGTGACTGGGTTATGAAGGAGTCAATTGGTGCTTCAGGGGGTTTAATTTGTGTTTGGAATAATGTTAATTTTGTTAAGCTATGGGAGTTTGCTAGAGATGGTTTTCTGGGTATTGATGGGGTTTGGGGATCGAATAAGGTGTTATGCCATTTTGTGAATGTGTATGCTCCACAGGATAGGTATAAAAAAGTGAGGTTATGGGAAGAGTTGGGTAATATGGTTATGGAAAAGGGAGGTTGCTGGATGATAGCAGGTGATTTTAATGCTGGTAGATGCCCTGAAGAAAGGAGAGGAAGAACTGGAGAATGCCTGAAGATGGAGGAGTTTAATGTTTTGATCGAGACAATAGAATTGGTTGATATCAGATTGGCGAATAGACGTTTTACATGGTACCGACCGGATGGTTCTTCTATGAGTCGGTTGGATAGATTTCTGATGACAAAGGAGATGTATAGTTTGGGGTGCAAGTGGGTGCAGCAGGGGATGAAACGGATTGTATCCGACCACTATGCTGTTATCTTGAAAACAAGTAATGCAGATTGGGGTCCAAAGCCATTTAGAGTATTAAATGCTTGGCAGCAGCATCCAGATTTTAAAAATGCAGTGGAAGGCAAGTGGCGAAAGATGGAGGTTAAAGGTTATGTAGGCTATCAATGTAAATAGAAGTTAAAGTTGTTGAAGGAATTTTTAAAGGGTTGGAATAGGGATGTGTTCGGGGATATAGAGGCTCAACTTGAAAAGGCAACAAAAATGGTAGAAAAGATTGATAGGAGGAATGAAGATTTTGATCTGGAAGAGTTGGAGGTGAGCCAACGACAAGAAGGAGTTTAAGAAATATGGGATATTTTGAGCAAAAAGGAAGCTATATGGAGGCAAAAATCGAGATGTAATTGGGGCGCAGTTGGGAGATGCGAACACCAGATTTTTTCACAAGATTGCTAATGGCAGGAGGGCTCAGAATAATATACTGGGGCTCTCGTGCGATGGTAGATGGGTGGAGGAACCTAAATTGGTTAAGAGGGAGGTAGCCAAATATTTTTTTGCTTTGTTTCAAGGTGAATTATGGAACAGACCTAAGCCTGCTGGTGTAAGTTTTCGGCAAATTTTTGAGGAGAAAAAAGAGTGGCTGGAAAGACCATTTTCAACTGAAGAGATTGAAGAAGGGTTAAGATGTTGTGAAGGGACTAAAGCACTTGGTCTGGATGGCTATAATTTCAACTTCCTCAAATTTGCCTGGAGCATTTTAAAGGAGGACTTCGTGAGTTTCTTCAATGAATTTCATCGGAATGGCAAGTTAGTAAAAGGTTTAAATTCTTCCTTTTTGACTCTGATCCCTAAGAAGCATAACCCCATAGAATTGAAGGATTATCGTCCTATTAGTCTAATTGGGTGTGTATATAAGTTATTGGCTAAGGTGTTAGCTAGTAGACTCAAGGTTGTGATGTCAGAGATAATTAGCGAGACTCAATCTGCTTTTTTGGGGGTCGTCAATTGGCGGATAGTGTGTTAGCTTTAAATGAAGTTGTGGATGAAATTAAGAAGAGCAAACAAAAGGCTTTTGTGTTCAAAGCTAATTTTGCGAAAGCATATGATTGTGTTGATTGGGAATTTTTGGATTGGATGATGGAAAGGTTTGGGTTTGGGTCTAGGTGGAGAGGATGGATTATGGAGTGCTTATCAACCGCAAAGGTTTCAGTCTTAGTTAATGGCAATCCGATTGAGGAGTTTGAGATTGGAAAAGGATTACGGCAAGGTAACCCTTTGTCTCCTTTTCTATTTTTGATGGTTGGTGAGGGTTTACATGGGTTACTTTGAAAATCAGAGTCGGAGGGGTTGTTTATGGGTGTTGAAATTGGGAAGAGGGGGCTGGTTGTATCTTTGCTACAATTTACCGATGATATAGTGATTTTGGGTAAAGCTAATGGGGAGAATGTTTTTATGGTTAAAACCGTGTTACGATGGTTTGAGTTGATATCAGGGTTGCGGATTAATTTCAGTAAAAGCAGTGTTCATGGCTTTAATGTATCAACAAGGTGGTTGAATGGGATGGCTTGTTATTTACGATGTGGTGTTGGGAAAACACCTTTTTTGTATTTGGGTCTACTTGTTGGTGGTAAATTTGGAAGTAAAAAACTGTGGGAACCAATGGTAAATAAGTTTCATGCCAAACTTGTTGTCTGGAAGTTTGCTTCATTGTCTTTTGGCGGCCGCATCACTTTGCTCAATTCGGTACTCTCTGCTTTACCCATTTTTTACATGTCTCTATTTTTAATTCCTAGTTTTGTGGTTTCTAAATTGGTTAAAATCCAAAGGGGGTTTCTGTGGGGTGGGGCTGAATTGAATAGGAAAATTCCATGGGTTAAATGGGATATTGTTTGTGGCAATAAGGCGCAGAGAGGTTTAGGGGTGTCGGATTTGTGAAGGAAAAATTGGGCATTATAGGGAAGTGGTGGTTTCGGTATGGTGATGGTGTGGGGAGTTTGTGGAAGTAGGTACTGAGGGATAAATATTATGAGGGTTGGTGTGAGGTGGATATAACAGCAATTGATAATTTAAGAGTGTCAAAGCTGTGGAAGGATATTATCAGCATTGGGGGGAAATCAGTTAGGTTGAGGAATATATTGGGGAATGGGTTTAGATGGGAGGTGGGGTGTGGAAGTAAGGTGGGTTTTTGGAGGGAGAAATGGGTGGGAGATAAATCCTTAAGGGATTTATGTCCCAGACTGTATGCCTTGGCTGCGAATAAGGAAGGTTCTGTTAGTGATATGGGGTAATGGGAAGGGGATAGGTGGCAATGGAATATGGCATGGAGAAGGGGGAGAATGGGGTGAGAAAAGGATGAGGAGGAGGTTTTGTGGGGGGTAGTGGATTGTGTACACTTAAAGAAAGGTAAGGAGGATGTTTGGACTTGGGTACATGATCCAGGAGGTAAATACTCGGTTAGGATAGCTTATGAATTTTTATCTCCTGAGGAGTGTCCTCTTGATACCCAATTTTGCAGGCTTATTTGGTGCAGGCTAATGCCTTTGAAAGTTAGCTTTTTTGGGTGGAGGTTATGTCTTGATCGGCTGCCAACAAAATGAAATTTACAAAAAAAGGGGTGTGTTGTTGCAGCAAGAGGGATTTTTTTGTGGTTTGTGTCATAAGGTGGTGGAGGAGGTTGATCATTTATTTTGTACTTGCAAGGAAGCTTGGTTAGTTTGGGTTAAGGTGCTGAATTGGTGGGGCATTGAAATTGTCATGTTGAATACAGTTAGGGAAGTGGCAGAATTTTTCTTGTTTGATTTGGGTAGAATTATAGGGAAGGAGTTGGGTGCATGTGTTTTTCTTATTGCTGCATGGTATCTTTGGTATTGGAGGAATGCTTGTGTAATTAAGAATTATGGGAGTATGCAGGAGTGTTTGTTGGATTAAAAATAAGGTGGATGGATGTGCTTTTTCTTTGTATAAGTGGCAGATGAATCCAATTGATTGTGCCTTAGCTATTAAACGGTATAAGAGGAAGTTGAAGAGTTTCCAAAAGCAGCATCAATGTTTACTATGAGTTCTTCATGTAGGCATTCACGAGTTGTTGTTTCTGATCAGCTTTGCTATTTTTGGCTGTTGGTTTGTTCTGCTAATGCCAACAATAGGATTTTAACTTTGTATATGGATTGGAGTACCCCTTGTACTCCTTCAAATACTATATTTCTCTTTGTTTTGTTGATAAAAAAAATAATAATACAAATAAAATTTTAAACTAATTAAAGAATGCTTTTGTTATTGAACCACTTAAAATGTTATGTGATTAAGAGGAAAACCTCAATCTAAGGAGTAATCTTATGGCAAGCTATGTAAGCTACATATCCAATACACATGGTCGTAAGTGAAAGCTTAAATTGCCCAGGACAAAACGATCACCAAGATTATATACTTCACCAACTTGGATACTAAGGCTTGAATGAATGTTTGATACTTCAGAAACATGATGCAGTTTTAAAACAGAGACTTAATGGAATAAGTTGATTCCTAGTAGGACCAAATATTAACGGCAACAAGTCAAACATCAAAGAGAACAAGAATCGATTAAATCAATCACAACAAAACTCAATTCACATAATCACAGTACCGTTAACCGATATTTGTTTATCAATATGTTTGCATAATCGCAATGGAAAAAACATAACCAAAATCATTCTTTAATATTTGGGTCTTAGATCTAATTTGTGTGACTCTGATACCATATGTTGGAATTTACTTAAATAATTAGTCTCACAAACTAGATTCTAAAACATCAAATCATCTAAATTAGCAATATATGTAATATACAAAATCAATAAATTACATATCTGAATCTCCATAATTAATATATTATTTAAGAATTTTAAAGGATTTTAAAGAATAATATTCAACTTTTATATAGAGACAACCAATGAATTATGTCACTCTCTAATAATTCTATTATTTATAGGGACAAAGTTTTCTAAATAGGAAAAATATGACCTAACTCATTATAATAATTTTTTGAACACTCCCATCAACTAACCCACCTTTAATTCCAAATCTTATACCTATTCATATTACATCATATAAAACTGAGATAAAACTTAAGATTACATAGCTTTATTGGGTTTTACCTATTTTTTAGTTAATTCCATTTTAAAAAACCAAATGCAAATAGCGGGTAGTGGACTTAAAATTTGTAGGAGATCATCACAGAGAAAATCAAGCTTGTTGGCATCACGGAGAAAATCAAGCTTGTTGACAGAGAAGCAATCAATCATTATGACAGATTTATT